AGCTGTGCATCACTTTAATAGTGTGAAAATTCAAGGGAGCCATTTTTTTGCGGATTATTTTATAATAAAATGGTATTGACTAATAGCGAGCGCAGAAAGTGGTGCAAAGCGCCACTCGTCACTGCGAGCTCTTAAAGCAATGCTTGGGTGAAGAGAAATTTTCACTTGAATGTTACTTGGATTTTGATTGGTTAATAGCTGTTTTAAAATACATCGGAAAATATTGTAGGTTATCAATAGCAATGAAGCTGTAGTTTTGTGATACTTTTGAAGAAGATCAATATATTAATTTATTGCAATATTTAAACATTGATATTAAAATCTTTTAACAAACTGAATATAGTTTTTCCATTCTCTCCGATACTGGTGCATAGGCCTTTGTGTTGTGAAACAGGTTTTCCAGTCGGCGAGCAATGTTTGGAAGCTGGTTAAGCAGATATAAAGCAATAAGGACAAGGGTGCGCCATGCATGAGTTTGCAGATATAAAGCAATAAGGACAAGGGTGCACCATGCATGAGTTTGCAGATAAATTATCTTAAAAGAGAATGGTAGTAAACATTTTTCCACAGCGTATTCCCTGAAAGAGCAAATAACTGCAATTCTCGGCGGGGGGGGGGGTACTCCATGTTATTTGGAGTTACATGTAAAACATTGTGTTAATATCATACTAGGGGTGTGAAATTCAGTGACAGAAAAAAGTTATTGTGCCTCCTATTAATATTCAGTGTACAGTGTGTCTAATGCTTTTTTTTTTAAAAGAAAATGTACACCTACTCATCACTGTTACACATTTATGCATATATCTATATATTTACCATTGTTTTGATCCTTTTCTCTGGAGGTTCCATTGAGTCGCTGCTGACAAATCTGCGGGAAAATAATTATATAACGGTGGTATTGTGGGTCGTTCCTAGCAATGTTTTCGATCCCTACTAATCATTAGTATCCTCTTCATCCAACAATAAATTAATGACCATTGTGAACAAAAAATGTCATAAGCGACATGAAATAAATTTTAATGTCAGGATGGCTCATATTAAGCTTCGAAAGTGGAAAACATCGTCATACTGTTAACTGAAGCAACACGTCATACTTTGGTATGGAGACGATTTGGATCGATACCTGAAATTTTGGCGGGAATATTCCAGGGGTGCCTAATGTCCCATTAGCGCTACTTCCGGTACATGCAGGGATGTTTCGCCCCCAGACGTTTCGTACCAAATCCCAATTTTCAATTTACAATTAATCAATTATACATCACTTTTTGAAATGGTGTTTTTTTTTAATTGAAATTTTTAGTTCTGTAAATTTGCGTCGATTATAATTGGCACTGGTCACTTAACTTATAATTATTTTCCTCGTTTGCTTATTCAGATAATTGCATTATAAGAGTTTAAACACCTCCAAAAACTTAATCAGGCACTTAATTATTATTACTGAATAAATATGATTAATTATCAGTTAATACACGACTTTCCAAATAAAAATGATATAGGCTACAAGCCGAATTAAATGAATAAAATTGTTGAAAAACTATGAAAAAGAAATAAATAAATAAATTAAAAAAATGAAGACCTTCAATCAAATAAATATGTATACCTTATAGGTTAAATTATATGTAACGTGAAACGTCTCGGCGCGAGTTAATATGGTGGACTAGGTTAGTGCGGAAAAAAAAGACACTTTAAGGTAGTTTGTCGAAGTAAACCCAAACACTTAGAGGAAGTTCAAGGTGCATGTTCATCACCTGATTCATTCTACATGGGTTCGATTGACCTAAGCGAGTCGGACAATACAGACGCATGGACAGTAAAGCTGAAGGTGTGTCGGAAGTACATTACATTCAAGATCGACACTGGTGCTGACACATCTGTGATAACGTACAATTCATTGCCAGTAAAGCCCAAACTGCAGGCTTCAACAAATCAGCTGTACAGCCCAGGAGGATCAGTAGAGTGTAAAGGGATGTTCGTTGCAAAGACTCTTCACAAGAACAATGAGTTTCATTTTCGAGTGTATGTGCTTAAGTACTCTAACAGTGGTTCTAATTTGCTCAGTCAAAGTGTCGCACACCGTATGTGACTCGTTATGAAAATCGAGGAAATTCGAGATGTGTTTGGTACACATGGATGCGTCAAGGGCCTACCAGTCAAGATAACGCTGAAGCCCGGAGCCACACCATATTGCGTCACAATAGCTCGCAGGATTCTGTTTCCATTGATGCCAAAGGTCGAGGCAGAACTAAACCGAATGGAGAACGCAGGGATCATTGCGAAGGTCACAGAACCGACGGATTGGTGTGCACCCATTGTGACAGCATTCAAGAAAAACGGGGATGTTCGCTTGTGTGTTGACCTTAAGAAACTGAATCAAGCAGTCAAGCGTGAACATTACATGTTGTCCAACTTGGATGACATTGCCCCAAAGTTGAGCAAGGCTACAGTCTTTTCGAAGCTTGATGCTAGTAGTGGTTTTCACCAGATACCTCTAGCTCCAGAGAGTTGTCACCTAACTTCCTTCATAACTCCGTTTGGATGATACTGTTTTCGGCGGGTACCTTTCGGGATAACGTCAGCCCCTGAAATATTTCAGCGTCGTAAGTAGTATAAGCGGTCTGGCCGGCCGGGTCAACTGAGTGCACTTTTGGGGCTGAGGGGGATAGGGGGTTCAAGGGAGTGCACTTTTGGGCCTGGGGGGATAGGGGGTTCAACACAATGCAGGTTTGGGGCTGGGGGGGATAGGGGGTTCAAAAGAGTGCAGATTAGGGGGGTCTAGGGGATAGCTGGGTCAATTCAGTACATATAGCCCCCTAAATACGGGGGTGTGTTTACATTATACTATATACGCTGCTACTACAACCTCTTGCATCATCTTTTTTATACCTGTTGCATCATCTTATACCTGTTGCATCATTTTTTTATACCTGTTGCATCACCTGTGAGGGGGCCGTGTGTAAAAATACCATAGACTTACCTATGCATTATGACGTCATCCGGTGTATAAATACGGCTTTTCTCTGACTTTCGGCTCATTCTACTGTCAGAGCCAGCTCCCTGCCGGGGGGTCATGGATTCTACTAGAGAAAAACAGTTACATGCTCAGCGATTATTAGAATGGAAAAAAAGGGAGAGAGTCTTTATGAAAATAAAGATCGAGAATTAGAGCTTAGGAAAAGAAATGCGGAAAGATTACAGAGAAGAGCTCTACAAGAACAACAACGACAACAACAACGACAACTACGGGAGAGAGAATTAGATCAAATTCTTGGTGAAAATAAAGAGCGAGAATTAAAGCTTCGGAAAAGAAATGCCAGACTATTACAGAGAAGAGCTCAACTAGAAAAACGACAGCAACAGCAAAGGACTAGGGCGCATGAGGGGTCAAAGTTACCTATTCATTCACCACCCAAACCCAAGGCCATATCCCAGTATTATCGAGTCACAGTGAATGATAGGATACACTCTAGAAAATTTAAAGCTCAACAGGAGTTTTACACTGTGATTTTTAACGAGTTTCTAGAGGAAGAAAACAGAGGATTTGTTCGGCGATTATTCAGACACATGTTACAAACTTTCAAATCGAAAATGCAGTGTAATCCTAACGATTACCTCCGCCTGAACATACGCCACAAATCTCTGAATCAGAGATTTGGTACGAGTTTACTCAATGTAAAGATTTTAACGAGGACGTCATTTTAGACAAAATAGAAAGTGTGCAACAATCCAGAAAGGAGTTCAAACTGGGCGACGGGGGCATGGAATTTGATATGTTTCGGGTCAAGTATCCCGAGGGAAGTGGTGGCCAGAAAACCAAACATTTACAAGTGAATAAGGAGACTTTTAAGAACAATAAACAATCCATCGTTCGGATCGTCAATCCCTGGGATAAATTTTGTTTAGCTAGAGCCATCGTCGTGACTCGATTACACAGTCAAAAACCCGAACATCCAGACCCCGAATGGGAAAAACAATGGAAACGCATGAGATTAGGAGATGTAAGAGCCAATGACCAGAAGAACCAAGCCATAGCCCTCATGGAACAGGCCGAGTGTGATATCACTCAAGCTTGTGGATATGAAGAGTGGACGAATTTACAACAGGTGTTAGCTCCTCAGTATCGACTGAAAATATTTCAGTTCAAGTCTACTTCAACTAAACTCACCTTAGAGCCTATTTACAAAGGTTGGGGAGACGGAACTTATTTGAACATTTTGTTAGACGACCATCATTACGATGCCATTCTATCGATGCCGGGAGTGACGGGGAACCCCTATTACTGTGATCATTGCGACGTGGGGTACAGGACTGTCACAGAACATCGCTCCAAGTGTCCTCATCGCTGTCCCTATTGTTTAGGACAACACCCTAAATGTCCCGATGAAGGGATCAAGATTCGATGCCAGGAATGCCATGGAATTTTTAAGAACAGGACCTGCTACGAAAATCATTTAAGACCCCATAGTAAGAAGACCACCACTACTGTCTGCAATTTAATGGAACAATGCGAGAAGTGTCAGTCTTGGATACCTTAGAAATTATTCCCTCATCACAAGTGCGGAGGACAGAAACGGTGTAAGATCTGTAAGAAAATCGTCGATGCCGATCAATAGTGCTACGTACAACAGAAGCCCCAGAAGAAGAAGAAGGGGAAAGACACCTTACAGTTTTACATCTATTTCGATTTCGAATGCACTCAGGAAACCGGCATTCACATCCCTCATCTGTGTGTGGCACACCGCGTCTGTCAACATTGCAATCAGTTAGACACAGACCAGCCCTGTCCTCATTGTCAACACATGGGACCCCGTCAGCACCTATTTCAAGGACCAGACACCTTAAAGAAGTTCATGGACTGGTTATTACAACCCACTACAGGTACTAAGAATTCCTTTTTAGTACACGACGAGGCCATCGTCATCGCCCATAACTTCAAAGCCTACGACGGACAATTCATTTTGAATCACCTGGTGCATTCCACTTGCCTGAAACCTAACGTCATCATGAACGGCAGTAAGATCTTGTCCATGGAAATATGCGGACTGAAATTCATCGACTCCTATAGTTTCTTACCATTTGCATTAGCCCAGATGCCCTCCGCTTTCGGATTCGACGAATTGAAGAAAGGCTATTTCCCCCACTTTTTTCATACGGAACAGAACCAGAATTACGTAGGACCTTATCCACCGGCAGCTTTCTACAAACCGCACGAAATGTCTAACAGTGGACGACGGGCTTTTTTTGAATGGTACGAACAACAGAGGGGGAAAGTGTTGGATTTCCAGAAAGAGTTTGTAGAGTATTGTGTCTCGGACGTCGACATTTCACACCGATGCTGTGCAAAGTTTAGAACCACCCTCAAGACTTTGGTCAATGTGGACCCTTTCCAGGAATCCATCACTTTTGCCAGTGCTGCTAATTTAGCCTACCGTCGACAATTCATGCCTGAAGACACCATTGCCATCATTCCTAACCTTCATTATCAACCGGCACGACAATATTCGGCTAAAGCCTGTCGGTGGCTCACCTGGATGAGTCAACAGAGTGGATGTCACATACAACATGCCAGAAACGGGGGCGAAGTCCAGATCAGAAATTATACCGTCGACGGATACCAGGAAGCGACTCGCACCGTCTACGAATTTTACGGGTGCTATTGGCACGGATGTCCCACCTGCTATCCCAGTTTACAGACCGAAACTCATCCTCATCGGACCCAATTTACTTACCAGCAATTACACGAAGAAACCATCAGAAGGACTTTGACTTTGGAGGATATGGGGTATACCGTCCGTAGTATCTGGGAGCACGATTTCGATCAGCAAGTGCAAAAAGATGCGAGTTTACAACATTTTGTACGAGACCTGGACATTCCGGATCCTTTGAAACCTCGAGAAGCCCTGTACGGAGGCCGGACCAATGCCACCCGATTATATTGTGAGGAAGGGGACACGAGATACGTGGACGTTTGTTCCCTATACCCTTACGTGTTAAAACACAGACCTTTTCCCGTAGGGCATCCCGAGATCATCACAGACGAGTTCCAGGACGTGAGAAATTATTTAGGTCTCATTCACTGTCGGGTCTTACCTCCCCGAGACCTCTATCACCCCGTATTACCTTATCGGACGGGAGGCAAGTTATTATTTCCCTTATGTCGCACGTGTGCCGAACGACAGGACTCTACTTCTCAAGATCGATGTCAACACACCGACCAGGAACGCAGTCTCACGGGTACTTGGGTGACGACCGAATTACATAAAGCCCTAGACATGGGATATACCTTAGATCGAATCTACGAAGTGTGGCATTTTAAAGAAAGCAGTCAAGAGTTATTTGGAGTTACATGTAAAACATTGTGTTAATATCATACTAGGGGTGTGAAATTCAGTGACAGAAAAAAGTTATTGTGCCTCCTATTAATATTCAGTGTACAGTGTGTCTAATGCTTTTTTTTTTAAAAGAAAATGTACACCTACTCATCACTGTTACACATTTATGCATATATCTATATATTTACCATTGTTTTGATCCTTTTCTCTGGAGGTTCCATTGAGTCGCTGCTGACAAATCTGCGGGAAAATAATTATATAACGGTGGTATTGTGGGTCGTTCCTAGCAATGTTTTCGATCCCTACTAATCATTAGTATCCTCTTCATCCAACAATAAATTAATGACCATTGTGAACAAAAAATGTCATAAGCGACATGAAATAAATTTTAATGTCAGGATGGCTCATATTAAGCTTCGAAAGTGGAAAACATCGTCATACTGTTAACTGAAGCAACACGTCATACTTTGGTATGGAGACGATTTGGATCGATACCTGAAATTTTGGCGGGAATATTCCAGGGGTGCCTAATGTCCCATTAGCGCTACTTCCGGTACATGCAGGGATGTTTCGCCCCCAGACGTTTCGTACCAAATCCCAATTTTCAATTTACAATTAATCAATTATACATCACTTTTTGAAATGGTGTTTTTTTTTAATTGAAATTTTTAGTTCTGTAAATTTGCGTCGATTATAATTGGCACTGGTCACTTAACTTATAATTATTTTCCTCGTTTGCTTATTCAGATAATTGCATTATAAGAGTTTAAACACCTCCAAAAACTTAATCAGGCACTTAATTATTATTACTGAATAAATATGATTAATTATCAGTTAATACACGACTTTCCAAATAAAAATGATATAGGCTACAAGCCGAATTAAATGAATAAAATTGTTGAAAAACTATGAAAAAGAAATAAATAAATAAATTAAAAAAATGAAGACCTTCAATCAAATAAATATGTATACCTTATAGGTTAAATTATATGTAACGTGAAACGTCTCGGCGCGAGTTAATATGGTGGACTAGGTTAGTGCGGGAAAAAAAGACACTTTAAGGTAGTTTGTCGAAGTAAACCCAAACACTTAGAGGAAGTTCAAGGTGCATGTTCATCACCTGATTCATTCTACATGGGTTCGATTGACCTAAGCGAGTCGGACAATACAGACGCATGGACAGTAAAGCTGAAGGTGTGTCGGAAGTACATTACATTCAAGATCGACACTGGTGCTGACACATCTGTGATAACGTACAATTCATTGCCAGTAAAGCCCAAACTGCAGGCTTCAACAAATCAGCTGTACAGCCCAGGAGGATCAGTAGAGTGTAAAGGGATGTTCGTTGCAAAGACTCTTCACAAGAACAATGAGTTTCATTTTCGAGTGTATGTGCTTAAGTACTCTAACTGTGGTTCTAATTTGCTCAGTCAAAGTGTCGCACACCGTATGTGACTCGTTATGAAAATCGAGGAAATTCGAGATGTGTTTGGTACACATGGATGCGTCAAGGGCCTACCAGTCAAGATAACGCTGAAGCCCGGAGCCACACCATATTGCGTCACAATAGCTCGCAGGATTCTGTTTCCATTGATGCCAAAGGTCGAGGCAGAACTAAACCGAATGGAGAACGCAGGGATCATTGCGAAGGTCACAGAACCGACGGATTGGTGTGCACCCATTGTGACAGCATTCAAGAAAAACGGGGATGTTCGCTTGTGTGTTGACCTTAAGAAACTGAATCAAGCAGTCAAGCGTGAACATTACATGTTGTCCAACTTGGATGACATTGCCCCAAAGTTGAGCAAGGCTACAGTCTTTTCGAAGCTTGATGCTAGTAGTGGTTTTCACCAGATACCTCTAGCTCCAGAGAGTTGTCACCTAACTTCCTTCATAACTCCGTTTGGATGATACTGTTTTCGGCGGGTACCTTTCGGGATAACGTCAGCCCCTGAAATATTTCAGCGTCGTAAGTAGTATAAGGGGTCTGGCCGGCCGGGTCAACTGAGTGCACTTTTGGGGCTGAGGGGGATAGGTGGGTCAAGGGAGTGCACTTTTGGGCCTGGGGGGATAGGCGGGTCAACGGCAGGTTTGGGGCTGGGGGGGATAGGGGGTTCAAAAGAGTGCAGATTAGGGGGGTCTAGGGGATAGCTGGGTCAATTCAGTACATATAGCCCCCTAAATACGGGGGTGTGTTTACATTATACTATATACGCTGCTACTACAACCTCTTGCATCATCTTTTTTATACCTGTTGCATCATCTTATACCTGTTGCATCATTTTTTTATACCTGTTGCATCACCTGTGAGGGGGCCGTGTGTAAAAATACCATAGACTTACCTATGCATTATGACGTCATCCGGTGTATAAATACGGCTTTTCTCTGACTTTCGGCTCATTCTACAGTCAGAGCCAGCTCCCTGCCAGGGGGGGGTCATGGATTCTACTAGAGAAAAACAGTTACATGCTCAGCGATTATTAGAATGAAAAAAAAGGGAGAGAGAATTAGATCAAATTCTTGATGAAAATAAAGATCGAGAGTTAGAGCTTAGGAAAAGAAATGTGGAAAGATTACAGAGAAGAGCTCTACAAGAACAACAACGACAACAACAACGACAACTACGGGAGAGAGAATTAGATCAAATTCTTGGTGAAAATAAAGAGCGAGAATTAAAGCTTCGGAAAAGAAATGCCAGACTATTACAGAGAAGAGCTCAACTAGAAAAACGACAGCAACAGCAAAGGACTAGGGCGCATGAGGGGTCAAAGTTACCTATTCATTCACCACCCAAACCCAAGGCCATATCCCAGTATTATCGAGTCACAGTGAATGATAGGATACACTCTAGAAAATTTAAAGCTCAACAGGAGTTTTACACTGTGATTTTTAACGAGTTTCTAGAGGAAGAAAACAGAGGATTTGTTCGGCGATTATTCAGACACATGTTACAAACTTTCAAATCGAAAATGCAGTGTAATCCTAACGATTACCTCCGCCTGAACATACGCCACAAATCTCTGAATCAGAGATTTGGTACGAGTTTACTCAATGTAAAGATTTTAACGAGGACGTCATTTTAGACAAAATAGAAAGTGTGCAACAATCCAGAAAGGAGTTCAAACTGGGCGACGGGGGCATGGAATTTGATATGTTTCGGGTCAAGTATCCCGAGGGAAGTGGTGGCCAGAAAACCAAACATTTACAAGTGAATAAGGAGACTTTTAAGAACAATAAGCAATCCATCGTTCGGATCGTCAATCCCTGGGATAAATTTTGTTAAGCTAGAGCCATCGTCGTGACTCGATTACACAGTCAAAAACCCGAACATCCAGACCCCGAATGGGAAAAACAATGGAAACGCATGAGATTAGGAGATGTAAGAGCCAATGACCAGAAGAACCAAGCCATAGCCCTCATGGAACAGGCCGAGTGTGATATCACTCAAGCTTGTGGAGCCCTAGAATGGACGAAATTACAACAGGTGTTAGCTCCTCAGTATCGACTGAAAATATTTCAGTTCAAGTCTACTTCGACTAAACTCACCTTAGAGCCTATTTACAAAGGTTGGGGAGACGGAACTTATTTGAACATTTTGTTAGACGACCATCATTACGATGCCATCCTATCGATGCCGGGAGTGACGGGGAACCCCTATTACTGTGATCATTGCGACGTGGGGTACAGGAAATTCACAGACCATCGGACCAAGTGTCCTCATCGCTGTCCCTTTTGTTTAGGACACCCTGAATGTCCTGAAGACGGGAGCAACATTCGATGCCAGGAATGCCATGGAATTTTTAAGAACAGGACCTGCTACGAAAATCATTTAAGACCCCATAGTAAGAAGACCACCACTACTGTCTGCAATTTAATGGAACAATGCGAGAAGTGTCAGTCTTGGATACCTTAGAAATTATTCCCTCATCACAAGTGCGGAGGACAGAAACGGTGTAAGATCTGTAAGAAAATCGTCGATGCCGATCAATAGTGCTACGTACAACAGAAGCCCCAGAAGAAGAAGAAGAAGAAGGGGAAAGACACCTTACAGTTTTACATCTATTTCGATTTCGAATGCACTCAGGAAACCGGCATTCACATCCCTAATCTGTGTTTGGCACACCGCGTCTGTCAACATTGCAATCAGTTAGACATAGACCAGCCCTGTCCTCATTGTCAACACATGGGACCCCGTCAGCACCTATTTCAAGGACCAGACACCTTAAAGAAGTTAATGGACTGGTTATTACAACCCACTACAGGTACTAAGAATTCCTTTTTAGTACACGACGAGGCCATCGTCATCGCCCATAACTTCAAAGCCTACGACGGACAATTCATTTTGAATCACCTGGTGCATTCCACTTGCCTGAAACCTAACGTCATCATGAACGGCAGTAAGATCTTGTACATGGAAATATGAGGACTGAAATTCATCGACTCCTATAGTTTCTTACCTTTTCCTTTGGCCCAGATGCCCTCCGCTTTCGGACTCGACGAATTGAAGAAAGGCTATTTCCCCCACTTTTTTCATACGGAACAGAACCAGAATTACGTAGGACCTTATCCACCGGCAGCTTTCTACAAACCGCACGAAATGTCTAACAGTGGACGACGGGCTTTTTTTGAATGGTACGAACAACAGAGGGGGAAAGTGTTGGATTTCCAGAAAGAGTTTGTAGAGTATTGTGTCTCGGACGTCGACATTTCACACCGATGCTGTGCAAAGTTTAGAACCACCCTCAAGACTTTGGTCAATGTGGACCCTTTCCAGGAATCCATCACTTTTGCCAGTGCTGCTAATTTAGCCTACCGTCGACAATTCATGCCTGAAGACACCATTGCCATCATTCCTAACCTTCATTATCAACCGGCACGACAATATTCGGCTAAAGCCTGTCGGTGGCTCACCTGGATGAGTCAACAGAGTGGATGTCACATACAACATGCCAGAAACGGGGGCGAAGTCCAGATCAGAAATTATACCGTCGACGGATACCAGGAAGCGACTCGCACCGTCTACGAATTTTACGGGTGCTATTGGCACGGATGTCCCACCTGCTATCCCAGTTTACAGACCGAAACTCATCCTCATCGGACCCAATTTACTTACCAGCAATTACACGAAGAAACCATCAGAAGGACTTTGACTTTGGAGGATATGGGGTATACCGTCCGTAGTATCTGGGAGCACGATTTCGATCAGCAAGTGCAAAAAGATGCGAGTTTACAACATTTTGTACGAGACCTGGACATTCCGGATCCTTTGAAACCTCGAGAAGCCCTGTACGGAGGCCGGACCAATGCCACCCGATTATATTGTGAGGAAGGGGACACGAGATACGTGGACGTTTGTTCCCTATACCCTTACGTGTTAAAACACAGACCTTTTCCCGTAGGGCATCCCGAGATCATCACAGACGAGTTCCAGGACGTGAGAAATTATTTAGGTCTCATTCACTGTCGGGTCTTACCTCCCCGAGACCTCTATCACCCCGTATTACCTTATCGGACGGGAGGCAAGTTATTATTTCCCTTATGTCGCACGTGTGCCGAACGACAGGACTCTACTTCTCAAGATCGATGTCAACACACCGACCGGGAACGCAGTCTCACGGGTACTTGGGTGACGACCGAATTACATAAAGCCCTAGACATGGGATATACCTTAGATCGAATCTACGAAGTGTGGCATTTTAAAGAAAGCAGTCAAGAGTTATTTGGAGTTACATGTAAAACATTGTGTTAATATCATACTAGGGGTGTGAAATTCAGTGACAGAAAAAAGTTATTGTGCCTCCTATTAATATTCAGTGTACAGTGTGTCTAATGCTTTTTTTTTTAAAAGAAAATGTACACCTACTCATCACTGTTACACATTTATGCATATATCTATATATTTACCATTGTTTTGATCCTTTTCTCTGGAGGTTCCATTGAGTCGCTGCTGACAAATCTGCGGGAAAATAATTATATAACGGTGGTATTGTGGGTCGTTCCTAGCAATGTTTTCGATCCCTACTAATCATTAGTATCCTCTTCATCCAACAATAAATTAATGACCATTGTGAACAAAAAATGTCATAAGCGACATGAAATAAATTTTAATGTCAGGATGGCTCATATTAAGCTTCGAAAGTGGAAAACATCGTCATACTGTTAACTGAAGCAACACGTCATACTTTGGTATGGAGACGATTTGGATCGATACCTGAAATTTTGGCGGGAATATTCCAGGGGTGCCTAATGTCCCATTAGCGCTACTTCCGGTACATGCAGGGATGTTTCGCCCCCAGACGTTTCGTACCAAATCCCAATTTTCAATTTACAATTAATCAATTATACATCACTTTTTGAAATGGTGTTTTTTTTTAATTGAAATTTTTAGTTCTGTAAATTTGCGTCGATTATAATTGGCACTGGTCACTTAACTTATAATTATTTTCCTCGTTTGCTTATTCAGATAATTGCATTATAAGAGTTTAAACACCTCCAAAAACTTAATCAGGCACTTAATTATTATTACTGAATAAATATGATTAATTATCAGTTAATACACGACTTTCCAAATAAAAATGATATAGGCTACAAGCCGAATTAAATGAATAAAATTGTTGAAAAACTATGAAAAAGAAATAAATAAATAAATTAAAAAAATGAAGACCTTCAATCAAATAAATATGTATACCTTATAGGTTAAATTATATGTAACGTGAAACGTCTCGGCGCGAGTTAATATGGTGGACTAGGTTAGTGCGGGAAAAAAAGACACTTTAAGGTAGTTTGTCGAAGTAAACCCAAACACTTAGAGGAAGTTCAAGGTGCATGTTCATCACCTGATTCATTCTACATGGGTTCGATTGACCTAAGCGAGTCGGACAATACAGACGCATGGACAGTAAAGCTGAAGGTGTGTCGGAAGTACATTACATTCAAGATCGACACTGGTGCTGACACATCTGTGATAACGTACAATTCATTGCCAGTAAAGCCCAAACTGCAGGCTTCAACAAATCAGCTGTACAGCCCAGGAGGATCAGTAGAGTGTAAAGGGATGTTCGTTGCAAAGACTCTTCACAAGAACAATGAGTTTCATTTTCGAGTGTATGTGCTTAAGTACTCTAACAGTGGTTCTAATTTGCTCAGTCAAAGTGTCGCACACCGTATGTGACTCGTTATGAAAATCGAGGAAATTCGAGATGTGTTTGGTACACATGGATGCGTCAAGGGCCTACCAGTCAAGATAACGCTGAAGCCCGGAGCCACACCATATTGCGTCACAATAGCTCGCAGGATTCTGTTTCCATTGATGCCAAAGGTCGAGGCAGAACTAAACCGAATGGAGAACGCAGGGATCATTGCGAAGGTCACAGAACCGACGGATTGGTGTGCACCCATTGTGACAGCATTCAAGAAAAACGGGGATGTTCGCTTGTGTGTTGACCTTAAGAAACTGAATCAAGCAGTCAAGCGTGAACATTACATGTTGTCCAACTTGGATGACATTGCCCCAAAGTTGAGCAAGGCTACAGTCTTTTCGAAGCTTGATGCTAGTAGTGGTTTTCACCAGATACCTCTAGCTCCAGAGAGTTGTCACCTAACTTCCTTCATAACTCCGTTTGGATGATACTGTTTTCGGCGGGTACCTTTCGGGATAACGTCAGCCCCTGAAATATTTCAGCGTCGTAAGTAGTATAAGCGGTCTGGCCGGCCGGGTCAACTGAGTGCACTTTTGGGGCTGAGGGGGATAGGGGGTTCAAGGGAGTGCACTTTTGGGCCTGGGGGGATAGGGGGTTCAACACAATGCAGGTTTGGGGCTGGGGGGGATAGGGGGTTCAAAAGAGTGCAGATTAGGGGGGTCTAGGGGATAGCTGGGTCAATTCAGTACATATAGCCCCCTAAATACGGGGGTGTGTTTACATTATACTATATACGCTGCTACTACAACCTCTTGCATCATCTTTTTTATACCTGTTGCATCATCTTATACCTGTTGCATCATTTTTTTATACCTGTTGCATCACCTGTGAGGGGGCCGTGTGTAAAAATACCATAGACTTACCTATGCATTATGACGTCATCCGGTGTATAAATACGGCTTTTCTCTGACTTTCGGCTCATTCTACAGTCAGAGCCAGCTCCCTGCCAGGGGGGGTCATGGATTCTACTAGAGAAAAACAGTTACATGCTCAGCGATTATTAGAATGAAAAAAAAGGGAGAGAGAATTAGATCAAATTCTTGATGAAAATAAAGATCGAGAGTTAGAGCTTAGGAAAAGAAATGTGGAAAGATTACAGAGAAGAGCTCTACAAGAACAACAACGACAACAACAACGACAACTACGGGAGAGAGAATTAGATCAAATTCTTGGTGAAAATAAAGAGCGAGAATTAAAGCTTCGGAAAAGAAATGCCAGACTATTACAGAGAAGAGCTCAACTAGAAAAACGACAGCAACAGCAAAGGACTAGGGCGCATGAGGGGTCAAAGTTACCTATTCATTCACCACCCAAACCCAAGGCCATATCCCAGTATTATCGAGTCACAGTGAATGATAGGATACACTCTAGAAAATTTAAAGCTCAACAGGAGTTTTACACTGTGATTTTTAACGAGTTTCTAGAGGAAGAAAACAGAGGATTTGTTCGGCGATTATTCAGACACATGTTACAAACTTTCAAATCGAAAATGCAGTGTAATCCTAACGATTACCTCCGCCTGAACATACGCCACAAATCTCTGAATCAGAGATTTGGTACGAGTTTACTCAATGTAAAGATTTTAACGAGGACGTCATTTTAGACAAAATAGAAAGTGTGCAACAATCCAGAAAGGAGTTCAAACTGGGCGACGGGGGCATGGAATTTGATATGTTTCGGGTCAAGTATCCCGAGGGAAGTGGTGGCCAGAAAACCAAACATTTACAAGTGAATAAGGAGACTTTTAAGAACAATAAGCAATCCATCGTTCGGATCGTCAATCCCTGGGATAAATTTTGTTTAGCTAGAGCCATCGTCGTGACTCGATTACACAGTCAAAAACCCGAACATCCAGACCCCGAATGGGAAAAACAATGGAAACGCATGAGATTAGGAGATGTAAGAGCCAATGACCAGAAGAACCAAGCCATAGCCCTCATGGAACAGGCCGAGTGTGATATCACTCAAGCTTGTGGATATGAAGAGTGGACGAATTTACAACAGGTGTTAGCTCCTCAGTATCGACTGAAAATATTTCAGTTCAAGTCTACTTCGACTCAACTCTGTTTAGAACCTATTTACAAAGGTTGGGGAGACGGAACTTATTTGAACATTTTGTTAGACGACCATCATTACGATGCCATCCTATCGATGCCGGGAGTGACGGGGAACCCCTATTGCTGTGATCATTGCGACGTGGGGTACAGGACTGTCACAGAACATCGCTCCAAGTGTCCTCATCGCTGTCCCTTTTGTTTAGGACAACACCCTAAATGTCCCGATGAAGGGATCAAGATTCGATGCCAGGAATGCCATGGAATTTTTAAGAACAGGACCTGCTACGAAAATCATTTAAGACCCCATAGTAAGAAGACCACCACTACTGTCTGCAATTTAATGGAACAATGCGAGAAGTGTCAGTCTTGGATACCTTAGAAATTATTCCCTCATCACAAGTGCGGAGGACAGAAACGGTGTAAGATCTGTAAGAAAATCGTCGATGCCGATCAATAGTGCTACGTACAACAGAAGCCCCAGAAGAAGAAGAAGAAAGGGGAAAGACACCTTACAGTTTTACATCTATTTCGATTTCGAATGCACTCAGGAAACCGGCATTCACATCCCTAATCTGTGTTTGGCACACCGCGTCTGTCAACATTGCAATCAGTTAGACATAGACCAGCCCTGTCCTCATTGTCAACACATGGGACCCCGTCAGCACCTATTTCAAGGACCAGACACCTTAAAGAAGTTAATGGACTGGTTATTACAACCCACTACAGGTACTAAGAATTCCTTTTTAGTACACGACGAGGCCATCGTCATCGCCCATAACTTCAAAGCCTACGACGGACAATTCATTTTGAATCACCTGGTGCATTCCACTTGCCTGAAACCTAACGTCATCATGAACGGCAGTAAGATCTTGTACATGGAAATATGAGGACTGAAATTCATCGACTCCTATAGTTTCTTACCTTTTCCTTTGGCCCAGATGCCCTCCGCTTTCGGACTCGACGAATTGAAGAAAGGCTATTTCCCCCACTTT